CCAAAACAGCCCCAATGATTCTCAACTCCCCATATCCACACCAAGATGCAGATCCCTCATGCACTGAGTCAGGGATGTACCATGTGACAACAGAATACTGCAGAAGGGACGCAATGTGACTTCAGAGGCTAGGTCATAAAAGACAATGTTGGATTTCTCACTCTGAGGAAAGTCACACCGTGTCATGAGAATACTCAAACATGCCTAAGGTGAGGACCATGTGAAGAGGAACTGCAGGTTCCCACCAGCAGCTGGAGTCAACCTGTCAGTCATGTAAGTAAGGCACTGTGGACATGAGCTGTAGGCCCCAAAACAACTCAGATGACTGGAATTTGACACAGAATCTCACTGCAGCTTAGGAGAGACTCTGAGAACTCCAAAATTTTGAACCATAGAAGGTGCTGTTGAAATTTTTGGAGAAATTTGTTACACAGCAAAACAGAACTGATGCATCTCCTGTGATCAAAATACTTGGTGACTCCCATTGTCCCCAGAATTTAAGTTCTCTCAGTGACCACAAGGCCCTTAGATCTTGTTCATTCCCTGTAACCCCTCTAATTACATCTTCTACTGCTCTCGTCACCACAGTGGATACAGCTATAGTGACCTTGTGGCCTTCCCTCAAATATGTTTCAGGCCCGTCCTCTCCTCTTTCTCCAATCTCTTTCAAGCCTTTACTCAAATGTCTTCTTTGTGGAGAGGCCTTCCCTGTTACCTTTCCAAAAATGCAGCTTCCTACATACACCCACACCCACTCACATTCTATAGCTCCTGTCATTAACTTTTTCCTTTAGATCACAGAACATGTATATTGCCTATTAGGCTGAAGGTCAAGTGGGTACAGAGAATTTTGTTGATTCTTAATATCTAGAGTGGTTTATGATTTAGTACAAACTCCAAAATTATTGTCAAATAGATGCTTGAATGTTAAATTTGGAAGATATACAAGTCAAAGGACTTTAAAAGTGCTCCAAATACAGACCAGTCATGACCTACCCCCATTTTATCAAGCTGTTTCTAAAATGTACTGCTATAAAAAAAAGTCTTTCCTAATGAGTTGTTTTATGAAAATAGCCATTATATAGGAAGTTTCCTAAACAATTGTTTGCCTTTCTATGTGAAGCTCAAACCAAAATCAAAAGCAATTTTAGTAACTGTGAAGGTCCTCAGAGTCTGGCATTTTGGTTTTTTTCATCTTGACTTATAGTTCCCAGTTTTCTATCATTTGTTCTGTTTACTACGTTCTTATTTTTTACAGCTCCTTCAAAGACTATGATATCAGTGTGCATAAATAATGGTGTTAGTGGTTTCTTAAACTCATTGTCACTTCTGTATATTATACTTACAGAATTGTGAACTCTTACAGTTGAAAGATTTCTAGGAGATTTTTTGACTTTCAGCTTAATCATATTTTTTCTTGTGAAAGCAGGAGTCGCATAGAGGAAATGAGAAGCTCTGATAATGATGCTTTTAGATACACTATACATTTTGACCACATGCAAGGGTGAGATAACAAAGCAAGCTGTTGATATTTACAAATCAAGAAGTTGAACTTTTCACAGATGAAATTACTTTTCCAGAGAGAAGGGCTATTAGATGAGACTAATGTAGATCTTCTAGTACCAGAGTCTTCCAGTAAAGACTTTTATGTTTAGGAGAGATTTTAATGTAAATGGAAGACCATCCATAATTGGGCTGTCCCTGTGCCTGACATAAAGCACTGAACTGGTACAGACCCTAATAAACGTCCTCAAGACTGACTCAGCCCCCAACTCACACATTTCAGGGAACTCACAACACTGCAAGCTCGTTTCTCTATGAGATTGTGAAACAAGAAGGAACACATGATCACTGAAGTCTCTTATAATTACAAATTAAAACAATACTAAGCATAGTCAGCCTTGTATTTTTAGAGACAGCTTTGTCGCCAAAAATTATGTTTGTCTTTGAGAGTATAAATGTTTGAAAAGGGAAACTTATTTCTTCAAAATTCTTCTGAACTATTAAATCCATCCCCTCTCATGTGAAAAGTGTTAGTTTCTTTCATTCATCTTAAAGCGCCATTATTCTTTTAACTTCCACCAGCTTATCTTACCCTGTAGTTCAGGAACGTGAGTTATATTTAAAGCGGGATTTCCTTTCAGGTATAACCTAATAGCAAAAATTAAAAGGATACCCCCACCCCCTTCCCGGTCTCCACTACGGGCACAAACCGAAGAGTCCAGGCACAGATGTACTGGCCCAGCAAAGAAGTTGTCAGCAACAACCAAACATTGTCTCTGAGCTAATCAGTAACTTCAAAAAAAGAAAACCAAAAACAGCTTCAAGTTTTATGGCGTGGCTAACATTCCCAGTTCCCAGAAGATAAGGCTCTGAATAGAGTAAGTTTTAACAAAGCCCGTTTTCCTAGCTACAAAGACAACATCAAGTAGAAACATTAAGCAGACCTCTGCCCAGATATATTCTCCCTAAAATTCCTGAAAATGTAAAATGTTTTCCCTGTAGACGACCTAAAATCCTCACTGTATGTCTCAGAATGCAGGCAGTTTTCCCAGAGTAATCTGTACCCAAGTTCAAGTCCTCAGTTTTGATTCTTTAATAAATTCAGTTTTAAAAAAAAATATGCATAAAGAAATGGGGTGTAGGCCAGAGGTAGAGGGGTGAGAGGATTCATTAGAAGCTGAGTGGGGAGCAGAACAGACAGATGTACTAGAATACACTGCTGAGGGGAGCAGCGGTCAGATCAGGGAAGGTCTGCTGCGCCACGTGGGTCACCTCCCTGGCTGGGGATTGAACTCGTGCTGCGCTTTAACACCTTGCACCACCAGGAGGCCCAATAAACTCAAATTTTAAAAGGCAACACAGAATTCCTCATTTTCAGATGGCCCTTATTTTTTCCTTCTTATAACTCCAAAACTTTTGCCAACCCCTATATGTCACAATTAATTGTCACTTTCCTGGAGTCATCTTCCTTTAACTCTGAGTTTAGGACAGATCCCAGCACTGCCACTTTTAAATTTATCTGTTCATATCTGTGCCCTGGCTATTCTAGATTCACCTGAAGTAGGGCTCTGTGGGTCTGGAACAGCACTGCCCAACAGAACTTCCTGTTCTGATAGAAATGTTCTCTAATCTGCACAGGTGGTACTGGGCACTTGAGAGTACTCAGTGCAGTGATCTGGCGAATGCTTTTTTCTAATTTAAATTTGAATAATCATATGCAACTGGTGGGTACATAGCAATTCAGTTCCAAAATCTAAATCAAGATGCCAGGAATCTGGGTCACCCATTTTCCCCAGGTGATTCTTATTAGCAATAAAATTTGACAAGAAGTGACTCCCACAGGCAGAGTGCTGGGAAATGGCAGCCATTTATCTATGTACAGCCCTCAACTGGGAAGAAGATGCTTATTAAAGTGAAGGCTTTGGTGGGAAAGGAGATTGACATTGACAAGGAACCCACAGACATGGTGGAGGGAATCAAAAAGCGTGTGGAGGAGAAAGAAGGACACTCCCACACCCCCACCCCAGGCAGTGGTTCATCTGCAGCGGCAAACAGATGAATGATGACAGCAGCTAATTACAAGCTTCCACACGGTGCAGTCTGGTGTTGGCTCTGAGAGGACGAGGTGGTCTTAGGCAGTAATGGGCCCACCGTCCATTCTACTTCCTTTATCCTGTCACTGGTAAGGAGGCCACCTCTATCCACTCACTCTGGGATGCTAAAACCGCTGACCCTTCTGCGGGACATCCAGTCCTGAGTGTACCAGTGGGAGGCTGAGGAGCAAGATGCAGTATTCTTAGCCAAAATGCCCTCTTCACTGGCTTTTGTTTTTAGTTCACAGTCCTGTGTGCTTCTCTCCCTGCAGCTACATCCCTGGCTGTCAAAGAAATATTACTTACCCTCCTAGAAAAAAATCATGCTGACAACTATTGATCTAGAATGTGATTCTTAAGTCTGACTTCACATTGAAATCAAGGAGGAGGTATTAAAAGAAAATGATTTCTGAGTTAGAGCTCCAAGAAATTCTATTTCAAATGGTCCTGTGTGGGGCCCAGTCCAGCAGTCCCCATTCTCCAGAATGTCATGTTGTCTGGGTTTCAGTTATCCAGGATCAAAGGCAGTTCAAAGAAATTTCATACAGCAATACATTTTCAAAAAGAAAAAGACCACATTCACATAACTTTTATTAAAGTGTATTATTATAATTGTTACATTTTAAAATTATTATTCTTAACCTCTGTCTCATTTATAAACCAACCTTACCATAGGTATGTAAATAAACAAAAAAAAATGATAGGGTTCAGTAAATACTGTTAGGCACCCCCTGGGGGTTCTGGAAGGTATTCTCTGATGTGGGATGTACTGTACTAGCATTTAAAAATAAAACAAAAGACCCCCAGGGCAATTGTAATGTGCAGTCAAGCCTAAGATGCTTAAAACATATGGTCTCATAAAGCTCTCAGTACATATGAGATAAATATATAAATTAATGTTCTGGATGCATATAGACTTACTAATTACAAGTTAAATTTTGTTCTGTCTCACATTAGAGAACATTAGTTTACTTATTACCTGCAGATAAATGAAGTTTATTGCCTATAGTTCTGGCACATTTCAGAACACATGTGATGTAATATTGACATGATTGCTTGCTGTCTCTCTAGTGACATGCCAGGTTCTATTGAATGTCTTGATATTGGAGGGGGGGAGGGAAACCCTCAACTCTAAATATGCTTTCATAGCGATGTGAAAAATACCTGTTTTGTTTCATCCATAAATAAATAAATAACGCCTAGCCCTGTGGTATTTATAGAGGGTGACACATTCAGGAACAGTCATCTCTTAACACAGTCTTTTCATTTGATTGACAGTTGGCTTGAGAACTCCTCATTGGAGCCACGGGAGTCACGTGACCGTGCAAGCCTGCTGAGCAGCTAGAGGAAGGAGTTTCCCAGCCGGCTGTTTCTGAGTAGGCCTCTGGGTCTCCCTTTACCTCCTGTGAGCTTAGGTAACTGTCTCTGTGGGTAGTAAAGGCTGAACAAGCAGCCCCAGCAAGGAAATGGGCCCCCGGGTCGAAGGTGCTTGAGCCTTCCTGCCCTTCAGACCCAGTACTTAAATCATTGTCCAGGCAGAAAGCAAAGGCTGGCAAAGTTACCCTAGCAGCAGAGGGACCGAGGCAGGCGAGTCTCAGCTGAGAGGAGGAAGCCGCCAGTCCGGACGGACCAGACTGACGCAGTGAGTACAGCAACTCAAAGAAACCCAAGCAGCTCTGCAGAGGAATGTCTGCTGAGTTTTCAGAATCTGCTCATAACTTAACAAATTCTAGACTGAATAAATACGCCAAGCTCTGCTAATTTTAACCGAGATGGCCAGAGTTTGCTAGATTTGAGGAAATTAACATGAAACTAAAACTATTTAGTTGAAATAAAAGGAGCAGCATTGATCAGAATGCACCAAGCACAAACCAAAAATGTCTGTATGATTTAAATAACTGGGGAGAAAGTTTGAGGAAAACTACTTATAATTAAAGAAAGAAAAATACTACAGTAGAACAAAAATGAAATACAATTGAATAAAATAAAAGTGGAAGCAATTTTATTATAAAAGTAGACTTAATGGATTTATTCTAGAAAAAAATTGGGACTACAGTGCTGGCTAAGAAAGATGATTATTTTTCTTTTCCACAAAAATTTTATTAATCGAGAAAAAGGTAGACTTTTTCCTAAAGATAAAAAATTGTCAAATCAAACTGAAATTATATCACATGCATTCTGGTATGTACCAGAATTGCATGCTATAAATTTCATTTATCTGCAGGTAATTGCTTTAAATAAAACCATGTTCATTCAGCAGTCGAAATTCAGTCCATGTCTTTTGATTAGCAATTCAAATTGTTCTTTCGATGGGATGAAATCTGAGAGGTTTAGGCTGTTAATATTCTTAACAGAGCCATCTTCACTAAAATAGTTGCCACTTTCAAGGTGAGACCTTACCAATGAGCTTATAAAGGCTTTGTTTCATTTTCTTATTTTCATTAAAATGCAAAAAATCTTGGTTTCATAACTTGGTTAACACCCAGTTATATGTGTCTCTAGTCCCATGATCTTCTCCCTAACACCTCCTGTCCTGATAACTTAGCAGCACGCCACCTGCTATGTAACCCATACAAGCAATAACCCATATTAACCATGGCAGGACTAAATCATTTTCCAACTAACGGTTAAAAGTATTGTTCATAGGCCCTCCCTGGGGGCGCAGCGGGTTAAAGCACTGCACTGAGAAGCTAAAGCCACTTCCGCATGAGTTCGATTCCCGCCTGCCCAGGAGGTGATACATGGTGCGGCAGACCTCTCCTGACCCGCCCGCTGCTCCCCTCAGCAGTGTACTTCGTTAATCTGCCTGTTCTGCTCCCCACTCTGTCTCTGGTGAAGCCCCTGAGCTTCTGGCCTGTACCCCAGTTCTGTATGTACAAATATATATAAAAAAAAAAATCTTAAAAAAAAAAAGTGGTGGTCATATTCCTAAAGTAGCGTTGTGTCAATGTTTAAAAATGTCTAGGTGTCTCTCCCTTGAGTACATCCCCAGGGGAGATGATGCAGTAGCAGTACCTTGCTAATTATTTTTTTAAGAAAGCATGCACAATTTCAAATATTTTTCTCACTAAAGTTACTGAACAATTTTGAAATTATTTCGTTTTCACTTAAATTATCCATGTTACTGCCAGAACATATAGTGTAGGTAGTTGTATATTTAATTGACTTTGCAAGAACCCATAAGGAACAATACATGAAAAAAGGAAACACCTATAAAGTGTTTATAAAATAACAAGGAAAGGTGATTTTTAAATGCACATCACAAGAAGCTGTCACTATAATATTAAATTTGGACAAAATAAAAAGAGTGGATTATCCTAAATTCTATTTCAGATAGCTTAGATAATAAAGTGAACCAAAGGGTTAATGTGCAAAGTAAGAATTCGAAACAGTATTGGGAGAAGACTCCGGTTCCTTCCTGTGATAAACTGACCTTTGTATGTTAGTTTTTTCATCTGGCTTGGACAACTGGAAAGGTGAATTGCATTCAAATGTTATTGAATGAAATATGTCTGGTTCTTGGCTATTGTGGTTTCAGGCCTTCACAGAGGAACCAAAACTTTTTATTAAGCAGAATGACCTGGTAGAACCTTCTGCAATAATGGAATGTTTTATAGTTTTCCTTGTCCCAAAGGTAGCTGCTGGGTTTAGGCAGCTATTGAGCACTTGACATGCAGTTCTTATGGCTGTAGCGCTGAATTGTTTTTTTCATTTGATTTCAATGCAAACTTAATCATATGTGGGTAATGGCTGACAGGCTACATACTGGCTGACTGTTCACATTGTTTTGCTGACTGGACACAGCCGCATGCAACACACCAGTGCTGACCCTGAACTTTAGGAGAGCTGTAGGAGGTTGCTTCATTTGCCAGCATTTTATTTTCAGTTTTTTCTTTTGAAAAAATTAAAAAAATATTTTTTATTTATGCATACATAACTGGGGTACAGGCCAGAGGTGCAGAGACGGTGAGAGGATTCTCCAGAGACAGAGTGGGGAGTAAAACAGACAGAAGGATGAAGTCACTGCTGAGGGGAGCAGCGCGGGTCAGGAGAGGTCTGCCGCGCCATGTGGGTCACCTCCCAGTCCAGATATAGAACTCAGGTTGAAGCGGCTGCAGCCAGCTTCACAGTGCTGTGCTTTAACCCATTTCACCACCAGGGAGGACCCTTGCCAGTGTTTTATTAAGTCATAAAGATAGAGGGTTCTTGAAGTGTTTAAACTCATACACAATGAGGGAACAACCCTACTGAAGAAAACACTTTTGCCTTTTGGGGTTCCGAGTATGAGCAGTGATACAACTTAAATGTGCCCCTGAGCTCACATCTTAAATAAGCACTTTTGTTTCCAAGGTACTAGTAGCTCTGAAAGTCTCCTACAAGCTCTGTCCTTTGTCACAACAACCAACTGAAATAGCACTCTAGTCCAGAAATCTTTTCATTTTATCACTCCATGTACACAGGAGAATTTTTAAATAATATAATAAAAATAGTAACCAGATCTTAGAAGATGATAGCTTTTCAAACTCTTAAGTTGTTTGTTTTTTTTTAATTATAGACCAGTGACCAAAAAAGATTTGTTGGTAAAATGAATTTAAAGGTGAATGAGTGGATCATGCAATTTCATAATGTCCTGCTTCTCAGAAGAAGCAATCTTAGCAAACCCTTCAGAGTCAATAAATACCACACAGTAATCACAATTTGATCACAGATTCATCACTTCTTACTTCATTTCTGTTTCATTTCAGAAGCTCTTGAACAGTACATCAAGTAACCTGCTAACTCTCAGACAGTACAACCATGAGCAATAATACAACAGACCTAACCACTGGATTCATCTCGTCTGCGGTAGCTGTCGTCTTATTTGGCTCAAACTTTGTACCACTTAAAAAATATGATACTGGTGATGGTAATTATCTTTCATTCACTGTTACACCTTAAGTTATTTTTCAAATATGAAGTTTTCCTTTTTAATCTTTTTAAAATGATGACTATAAACCTAAATTTTGTTGAACCTGACATATGAATAGAACTTAAATGATTTGATAACAGTCATGTCAGTTAATCTGAGAGCTGGGCAGTATAAGAAAACCTGAAGATTTTGTTTTAGGGTAATGCTAGGATAGAGATTGTCAGGAAAAGTTTTCAACCATATGTTATGTTTACAGAAGAAGGATTTAGTACTTCTAACAACACATTTAATTACAGGATGATCTATAGAATAAAAAACAAATGAAGAATTAGAGAATCCCTTAGGGCAATTTTGACTCTGACAAAACACAACATTGAACACAGAAAATGACACCCAGATAAATGAAGATGTATATTAACACACGAAGTGTGTTCACACATCAGCCCCCGCCAAATCATTACCAGTGCTCTCAGATCCAGTGCCATTCCCATCTGTGTCTGGAGTTTGAACTCTCCTTCCACCACAAAAATTCATGATTCCAATACCCTCCACAATAAGAAAACTTCAAGTTTTTTTTTTTTTCAAATTAAAGTACCATGTTTACAGTCACATTTGTGAATTTCTTAACTTTTTAACCAGTATGAAACTACACTGCCATTTTTATTGGTTTCCTATCAGTTTTAGATATTGTTGATGAAGTTTTTGAATGTTGTGTCCTTAGCCCCATTTTCCCTGTTAGGTCTCTGGTTTTTGTTGCAGGATTTTGTATAATGCAGTGATTTTTAGGAATGCGTATGTCACATCTTGTAGAAATAACTGTAATGTGAATTTTAGGGAAGGTAAAGCAACAGTTGTTTTTACCTATCTGCCTTAAAGTCAGGAAAAGGAATTAGAGAGGTTTTGGTGAATACCTATTGCTGTACTATTTCCCCAATTCCTATGTCTTCATGTGACTTAGAAAATACAACTATGAATCTTCAGAAACTTCCTTCTCTTTTCCTTTAAAGTAAGACAACAATGGTAACAACAAAAAGAACAAATCCACTAAGTTGTAGGGAAACAGTTTTTTTTTTTATAATAGTTTGTTTTTACATCATTTTGTGCCTTTTTCCATCTTTTTTCACCCATGGGCCATCACCATAGTCTAATGCACTACCCCTCCACCCTGTTTTTTAATCCCATTCCTCACTCCACCCTGTAAAATGCCTCTGGGATATAGTTGTTCATTATTATTATTGGGGAAACTGGCTGTTAGGAATTTCAAAACAACTGTGTGATCCTGGAAAACTCTTATCAGATCCACTTTCAGTTTCTCTTTCCCTGTTGTGTCTCTAAGTCGGGATCCTAAAAGTTGGTATCTTAGAAGTTACCTACCATTTTCTTTTTCTTTCCTCCATCATGAGATAGAATAGAAATAGGGAAAAATCACCCAAAGTTAAGACTACAAAAGTTAAGTAATACCAAAGAATTCTTTTCTTTTAATCCCTTAATGAAGCATCAATAACATGCAGATAGACCTCATATCACTAGGTAATCTCCAAATAACTGCTAAATGGAAACCCAGAGCCTAGAAAGGAGGTAGAACAGACCTTGAAGGTTGCATCTTAGGCTTGCAATGTCTACCTCATAACCTCAACTGTGACTGTATGAGGTCTGTAAATGGCCATAAATTTATGTGTCTCCCAAACGTGGCATAAATGACCCACAAAGATTTAAATAGCTGTTGATAGTCTGAAGAGACAGCAATCAGCAATGGCACCTGACTAAAATACAGATTTGGCTTTGTCACTACTCTTTGGTAAAGTATTCTTATTTATTTAATAGTTGGGGGAAATTTTAAAAGATTGTTAATCAAGAAATTAGTATATAGAGAAGGTGTTCAAGCCAAACAACCTGGACATAACTCTAGTTCCACAAATTTTAGTTTTTTTAATCTTAAATTTATATTCTCTCTCTTTGAACTAGGGTTAATTATGATATAGAGTACTGTGAGAATTATAGTTAATATGAAAAGTACCTGCAGTCAATAACTTCTGGCCTTTCCTATAATAATATCGCTTTGATAGCCCTGATCATCAATTGACTAAAATCAATTTGAACTACTGACGACAATTTTTTTATTTCCAGGAATTTTTCTCCAGTGGGTACTTTGTGCTGCCATATGGTTGGTGGCCCTGGTGGTCAACCTGATACTACATTGCCCAAAGTTTTGGCCTTTTGCAATGGTTGGGGGCTGCATCTGGGCCACAGGTAATGCATGATACAATTTAGTATTTAAACATCTAATGCTATGTTGAAAGTAACTCATTCACAATAGAAGGAAATAGCACAGAAAGGAATTCTGAATAATGCTTAGTTATAAACACTAGAAATTAACAATTTTACTTTTTTAATTCAGATACTTCATAGATATTTTGGTGCACAGCTTATCTCTTTCTGCTCAATGATTTCTAAGTCTCTATTAGAAAAATACTGTAGTAAAAACTGTTTCCATTTTCTCTGTCTAGTTGAGCTTAACTCATGTATTTATTGAGGTAGTCTTGTCTTTCTCTAGCATGTTTATCAGAAAATATTTATTAAATACTAGCCTTCCTAATACCATTTGCTTACTTTAAGGATAAGCAAACACAGACACATTACCCCAAAAACTTTGCTCCATTAATACCTAAAATAAAGAACTAGAATTTATAACTTCATTGTCCAAAGAATGCTTTCTTTCTATCAACATAAATATAGCCCAGCAGATCTCTCTTCTTCTTTAACAAAGAAAATTCCAAGTACCAAGGATCTTTAGAGATAATCTGACTTAAAGCAAATAAATTTTAAATTGCTAAAACTTTTTAGGTATCCACTTAATTTGAATCCTTGCAAAATTAATTGATCTGGAGAAGTTCATGAGTTGGAAGACAGAGCAATTAACTTTTAAATTGCCACTAGAATTTAATTATTATGCCTCAATTATACTTCAGTGATTGTTTACTGTGTCTGTCTAATGGGTAGAAGAAAACACAGAAAGCACACAGAACCTTACATTCACCCAGTCGGTTACTCTGGAATTCAGCAAGGGAAGGGTCTAAATTGAGAAATGTTGCAGAGGTGGTTGGTAGAGGCCATATGAACTGATTAGAGATGGGCAGGAGATGTAAGGGAGGAAGCAATGATGATGAAGGGGTCTTATTCTAAGTGATAGAGAGTAGTGATGCTACATAAGAAAAGGAAGGAGAGTGATGTGTTTGAAAGAGAAAATGATACTTTCAGCTTGGGATCTTCCGAATTTGAAGGCCCTTCCATTTCTAGAGTAGAGGACCTCTATTAGCAGTTTGGAGCAAAACAACATAGCTAAAACCATGAAATGAAACCAAGCACCTAGAGCAGAATATATCAAGAGGAGGAATGTGATCAAGGGAAAATATGAAGGGGGAACCTAACTCCAGAAGTTATGACAAGACAGATCAGCCAGAGAAAAACACTAAACAGAGAAACAGAAGGGAATCGGGAGCTAAGCGCATCTTGGAAGCAAAGAGACGAAAAAATTTAAGAGACTGAGTACAAAACAGTGGGTATAGAATCCAGAAGTCAGTGAGCATGGGAGAGCAAAATCTGGACTACTTTGAGCCAAAGAATTCTACTACTGGTTGACCCTAGGTTCAAATCTAAGAGAATGGTTACTACTAATTTTATTATTGACAACTTACACACAAAAAAAAAAAAAAAAGAAAGAAAGAAAAAGCTATAGAACAGAGAGAGACCTATAGACATATGTTAACATTGCAAAGCATTGGTACAGTTAGGCAAGGAAATAATTCAACAGTTTTCCTTGTAGGATTTTCTCCTGTCTAGTTCTTTAGCAATAAAATCATGAGTTTAACACCAAAGATGTAGTTATTTTAAAAATAATGAATTGCATTTTACTAAATTATTCTCAAACTACAAATGTCAGTTATAGTTTAAAAATTTAAATATATAAAGGCATTTTCTATATTGAAAATAACACATTTCTTCTATGTGTTACATCTACAGGCAACATTGCTGTTGTCCCAATTATCAAAACCATTGGTTTGGGCCTTGGAATCTTAATCTGGGGATCATTTAATACCTTAACTGGCTGGGCAAGCTCAAGGTAACATGAAGCAAATTATTTTGCCTAAGATTCTCTACACTTATACTGCACGTCAACCAGTGCTAGTGGCTGGCCTACCTGGGATGAGTAACATTTTCTTCTTACCCTCAGAGAGATGACAGCTGATAAGACATACACAAACTTTATGGTTACTATTTGTTCTAAATTCTAAAGGAGTGATCTAGGTATTTGATGAAGATATAGTAAAGAATTAGCTTTAAGAAATGGAAGTAGGGTAAAAGAAAGGGAACTGATACTTATTTTCACTTTCTTTGTATGACAATTTGCTGAACATTTTATAGGCATTATTTGCAACACATTTTTATAGAAACATGGGGTATGCACTATCTTAGATGAAAGCAGATATATGAAGAGTTTCAGTAACTTGCTGTAGGGCACAGGACTAAAAAGTCAAGATTCAAACCCAGTTCCAAAGTGCATATCCTTTCTTCGAAATACTGGGCCAAGGTTAACAAACTGTAACCCAGGATTGCAGTCCTTTTTTTTTTTTTTTTTATAAATAGTTACTGGCACACAGCCAAACTCATCCATGTTAAGTATTGACTATGGCTGCATTTACACTACAGTGGCAGAGTGGAGAAGCTGCTGGAGAACAAATGGTCCCCAAAGCATAAAATATTTACTCTCTAGCTCTTTTAAGGAAAGTCTGCCAACCCCAGCTCCCGTGTGGGCAGGCCAAGAGGGTCCCCATAAGTTACATGTGGCCATCTCTATTTAAAGGTAAAATAATTCCAGGGTGATAAAAGCAAACACCCAGGTCCTCAGTTGCACCTTCTGCTCAGTCTAGCTCCCTGCTGGTCTAGCGGCTGGGATTCAGCACTTTCAAGTGCTCGGTCTCATATATGACCAGCAACCCCTCTGCCTGTACAGCGCTAGGACATCCCATCATCACAGAAATGGCCCTGGCCAGCATTCAGATTAACATTCAAGATGGGATTAGGAAAATCAGGAGAAGGGAGGATGGAACTCTTACCGTGTTAGACTCCACTTCACATACAAAGCGTTATAAAGCAAACTAACCTCCAACATATTCCTTCCTGTCCTTTACCCATCTCTATTCTGTTCTTTACAAGTGCCGTTTCCTCTCTCTTCTTGACTTTTTAATCTCTTGTTCCCTGGATGGTGTGCAATGACTGCTGATAATGATCACTACATTTGGCAAGGCATGGCAAAGCAAAAACAATTTAACCAGGCAGTCATTTAAAACTATTTCAGTATTATACAAAATTACAGCCAGTTACAATACAAAACTCCATTAGCCCTGACTCAAGTTTTTCTTCCTTCTTCCATGGTCTTAATTAGAAAGGGATACTAACATATACTAACTCATTTAATACCATAAGAAACCTCTAAGGCAGCAGATACAATTACTATTCCATTAGCAAAATGAGAAATTGAGCACAGTCAAGATAAGTAACTTATCCGAGTCACAGTGAGTGAGGGACTTGGGATTTGAACATAGAAATCCGACCCTGAGTTTGTGTCCTTGAACACTACAACAAGTATATCTTCAGCAATCCCACTGCTGTGACTTTCTTCACGTCCAGGTTTGGCTGGTTTGGAATGGATGCAGAAGAAGTGGCAAAACCACTGCTGAATTACATCGGAGCTACACTGTCAGTCGTAAGGTAACGCAGTTGTTTCCAGTGATTTAGCTACCCTTCTGAACGTTTAGAATACTTTGCAAAGATTCTGATGCATTTGTCTTCTCTTCAACTCTCAATTTCATTTGCTTGACATGACTCTTCCTCATATTCTTCATTTGCAAGGACAGCCTTGGTTTTAGAGCGCAAAAAGTACTGCCCTGAAATTAGAAACTCCAGCATTTGCTTAAACTCTCAGAGAACAGTTTAGTTGTTCGATGCTCACTTTCATCTTTATAATAGGTAGAAAATCTTAACAGCAGTTTATAAATTAGAATCAAATGACACATTATTTTGCAAACTAAAATAATGCTCCCTAGGTAGGGAGTGTGCTTCCTGATGCCCCTGGAATAGTCATGATTCTCTCTTCTAACTACTGTTCACCCATCTTTGCCCACTTCCCTGTCCCCTTTTTTTTTTTTTGTTTTTGTTTTTGTTTTTGTTTTTTAAGCTGGGTAACATTGGTTCACAACTCTGTATATGCTTTAAGTGAATAGGTTCACATTCTTCAAATGTGTGTTCCCACCTGTGCCCACCGCTTGCTTAAATGTATCTGTTTCTAGTTGTTGCATTATATGAGTAAGGATGGACAGGAGTTTGAGTCTTTATCTGACAGTATTCTGTCACTAAAACTCTAACAGGAATTTTCCTCCCTAAATTTCATTTATATTCCCTGTCAGTGCCCCACATAATGGGTAGCACTCCCGGGAAGAATTTTAGTTCTTTTTTTATTCCTCAGGGAATGAACACTATCTCTTTTCTCTTTCTATGATGGTTTTTACCCAGCCGCATTCAGGAACAATCTCTTTGTCATTGAGATGTTGCTTTTGAGAGTGGTTCCAAGCCAATTGGAGAAGAAATAACATAGATTATTTTAAAATAGCAGATTCCTGACATTTTTAGTTAGAGGCAATTTTATGTACTTTGTCCAATTTACACAGCATTATAGCTTTGAATAGCTCTCTCCAAAACAATTTCTTTATACCCCCGAATTGTAATATAACATGCCTTAGTTTTGACTAAAGTAATTTAAAACAAATTTACCCAGTCCATCCAGCAGACATTGTTTTTCTCTATATTTCTCCTTTCTTTAGAAAAAGTCTGTTCTCTAAAAGTTGCATATCAACTTGGTTTCATGTTCTACCATGTCTTCTTATGTCACCTTGGGCAAATCACTGTATGTTTCCAGTCTTGTTTTCTTCATTTACAGAAGAGATAATAATAGTACCAAACTCATAAGACAGAGAGTTAAATGAAGCAAAATATGTTAACTGTTTTGTAATATGCTAAGCACATGGTTACTGCTATATATATTGTACAATTTTCACTATAATTATTTTATTAATAACTACTTTATGTTCAGTTCCTATTTCCCCTTTGGCATTCATTGTTTAACCCTATATGTTAAACTTATTAGTCCTCCGAACCATGCCATTTGCTTTGGCTCTTGGTCAGTGGCAGGGAAACACTATGTGCTCTCTTAGTAAGGGACCCAGCGCCCTTCAATGTTTTTCTGCTGATGACATCCTGGAACCCTTCTTTTCATTATTTTAACTCAGACAAATCACTTTATGCTAAAGGGAAATTGTTAATTAATTTGGAACTTCATAGTGTAAAGAAACGTGGAGTACAGTACCTTGTTTTAAGATGTCACTTCTCTTTTTTTTATTTAAATTATTGTTTCTATTTATTCTCTGTATAGTGTAGGTTTTGAAGGAAATCCATATGGGGAATTAGAATGAGATAGGTCAGTGGAGCAAAATGCAGAAAGCAATAAGAATCAAAAAGAAAAGTTAAATTTATAATTTTTACATAAAAGATAACATGTAATATGCATTCCTTGCATTCTTCTGTACTTAAGTAACTAGTAATACATAATTTCAGGGCATCCCTGGTGGTGCAGGTGTTGAAGCTATCACCAGCCACTGAGGCATGAGTTCCATTCCCAGCCAGGGAGGTGACCCACAGGGTGCAGTAGACCTCTCCTGTCTCACCTGCTGCTCCCCTCAGCAGTGGGATTTCAATCAGTCTGCCTGTTCTGCTCCCCACTCTGTTTGTGGTGAATCCACTCAACCTCCCCACTGCACATCTGGCCTACACCCCAGGTCTTATATGCATAAGTAAATAAGAATACATCCTTAAATAAAAATACATAATTTCAGCCTCAATTATGAAAACTTCTTATATTTTGAAAACTTCTTATATTTTAATTTTAAACCATGCAAATATATTTAAAATAGGAACGTCAATCCTATACCTAAGTTGTTCGTTTTCTTATGTTTATTCAATATTTTAACACATCTTAACATATTTTCTTGGTTGAAAAGTCAATAGTGCTGTGTATTACAAAGATACTGAATATGAATAGAAAGTACATTATGAGAGAGATGTTAAAGTGGAAAACTCATTAGGTTATGAGTCTATTTTTATCTCTTAAACTATACTCTGGAGATTTTTTTATATTAGAGCATAGAGGACGTTCTCATTCCTTTTTACTTTGCCCAGTCAAGGATATTATTAAACTTTGTCAATAAAATAGATGAGAAAGGGGATTGCAACTGAGATGGAAAAATGCACAAAATGATGTAAAAATAAACTATTGTGTATATATATTAAAAAATGGATGAGAATTTTCATTTCAATGTAGGTTTTATATATGTGCGTATATATGTATATATGTATATGTGTGTATGTATGTGTGTGTGTGTATATATATATATATATATATCACACCACACACACTCTATGTGTTTGCATATTTGCTTATTTTACCAGTGATTCCAGTGTTAAGCAGGGAAAATGAAAGATGGGGCCAAGGAAAATCAGCAGAAAGATATGATTGGAGGAGAAAGCTTATGAGTTCAGTTTTTAGCCTTTGCAATTAAGGAGAAGATACATCAAAGAGAATGACAGTCTTGGAGAAAATGACAGGCCACTGAAGGCAGGTTGGAAAGTGATCGTAATAGCAGTAATCATCATATTGCTGGGACTTGATTTAAACTTCTCTAGATTCAGACAGCTTAATATTAATGATAACTGTGGTAAAGATCACTAAAATTTATTTTCTTTACAGCGCTTTTGTATTTTTGTTCATCAAAACTAAAATACCAACTAACACATACTCTACAGACACCACACCGCTGATATCAGAGCATGTGAGTACATGAGACAGCTTGTTTTGAAACATGATAAAAAGAAAATTAATTCATAGGTTTGAAACATGAGATGGCGGTAGTTTTTAGTCAGAGCTAGTTCTGCAGAGCAACCAAAGTTCTGCCATAGCCTGACCTGCTGCAAGGTAAAGGCAGGAAATAGATGCAGAATCACTGATTCGACTTTAAGTAATCCTAAATAATTTGATACAGCAGCAAAACTGCATTAAATATGGATAGATTTTAAGAGAGATCTAACGCAGCACAAGCACCAGTGAGTGATTCATATACAAAAGTGATTTAGGGTAAAGCCCCAGTGAATTCTGAGCCAAAAGTCTAGTCTCTCCTCGTTCAAAGCTCTCTTCTCCTGCATGGGCACAGTGCTGAAGGTGCTCTGGACTGGCACCACACCCCCACTGAGGCACTGCATCCCCTGCCTCTACTCTTTATGTCAAAACTAAATTTTCTTCACCCTCCCTCTTCCCTTACCAAAACACTTTTGGGTAACTGATGCCTTAGTTAAACTGACATGAAAGTTCAAAAATAGATTATGTGTAAGAGGAAAAGTTGTTTATTAACCCACAGGCACCAGTAATCAGGGAATGTTTCAGTAGGAATGGAGAAGTTTGAGCTGAGAAAAGATCCCAGGTGTCCCTTGTCTACTTTATATTCCAGAAATGTATTAACCACCCTTTAAGGAAAGAACAAAGGAAACTGAATTAAATGCAAATAAGTAAAAGATATGTAGTAGGTTAGCTTTTTCTAAGCAAGGTGAAAGGATATAATACAGAAATGGCACAATCAGTGTATATTTAACCAAAAACCATAAGCTCCTCACATGAAAGGAAGTGTGATTGCCAAAGAAAAAAGTAGACTTAGCAAATGACAAGGAATTCAAATCTAGTTTCTTGTCTCTTACAAGAGCTGGAGGAATATAACATCAAGAAACTTCTGCCACAGGCAAAAGTGATTACAGTCAATAATAGATATATTAATTGCTCATAATATTTCTTGACTTAGAATATTAGCCTAATCTTGAAACATGTTTGGAAGTGTCTGAACTGATTCACTTAAAAAAAAATCTGAGTGGAAAAGTGCCTATTTACAATGAGGCATTAATATTAGAAGAGCTTGAGTTTTCCTTGGTTTTCATTTATTTACAAGTAATTAAAATATGCTAGTGAAACATAAAAAAAAACAATAACTTTTTTAGGTTTGAAAGGTGATAAAATAACTATATATTAAACTGAAAAAAAAATCCATGGAGTATTTGCCAACTGTCAAACCATTCTGAATGAAAGAGGAACAGACAGAATCAGAAGCAAGTATAAAAATATCTACAGAATCAGAATGCATAGTATATAAAGCTCATATTTTAAAGTGTTTAAGAGAGGAAAGAAAAACACTAAGAGCCAGTGCCACCAGAGTGATTACCAATCGAATGCCATTTTTTTGTTTTGCTTTGTACCAATGTTTTCAATAGGTGATCAACACAACTCCAGAGCCCTCTCCTGATTACACCTGGGTGGATAAATTGTCTACGGTGCAGCACCGCATAGTGTAAGAAGAGGTTTGGTTATTCTGTCTCATATTGGTTAGAGCAGGGATTACCAGAGTGGAGTGATATTCATCTGAATTCACACAGAAAACAGCAGCCCAGACTTTGACTCCCTTAGTTTCAAGGTAGAGAAGTTTCCTTATATTCCCTGCTGAGTTTCTGACTAAGGGGACTTTGGCCTCAATATTTGAACGATTCTTAAGCTGCCACTGAATTATCTTAGTTCATAAGCAACCTCCCTCATTTTTAGAACTTTTGTGTCTAAAACAAAAGAGGTAGGTTAGGCCACGGGTATAATGAGCAACATCAGGCATCACAAATGTATTAGGAAATGCAATTCTGTAGAGGCGTCCTGCCCAGGAGTCCTGCCCTCTGCTGGGAATCCCTCCTCTCTTGTGGGGGTTCATTATCAAACACAGTGGGGTAGTTTGTGTCTACAGTGGGTCCTAGCACTGTCTCCAGAAAGACTGGAGGAGTTGACTTCCCATCAGCTGCTAAATACAAGGGGTTTTTTGTTTAGCAAATGAATGTGAAATAGTGAATAATGTATATTTTTCAACTGATGACTAGTTTGGACTTTATATGATAACCCTTCTTTTGCTGCAAATATATAAAACATTTCCTTTTAAAACATACAGTAAACCCTCATTTAATGTCCTAATAGATTCTTGAAAGCTTCAACTTTAAGCAAAACTAGGAACAAGGAAAGTAAGTCTTGATAAGGTCTGTTTGTTCGATAATGGCAGGGACTGTTGTTTCTTCATTGATTTTAGAACAAAACCTACATTGAACAGAGTGACATTCATCAAGGTCCTGCTGGACACTCTCATCCTCACAGTGGGAAAGAGGCAGTGCCTGGCACATGAGCACTCTATTAATATTTGAATAAATGAAGGAATGATCTAACAAGCAAACAAGTTTGGAGGAAATATGTTACTGTTTTTCTTCAGAATGAAATAGATCTCGCAAACAAAACTTTTTTTTTTTTAATACAAAGCTTCTCCTTCTTGAAGGGAATATTTGTTAAGAAAAACATTTTTAAGCTTTTTTATCAATAGTTAGGCCTGGTCTATGTTTGGGAACTATGGAGTTCAGGCTTCCTACAACACAGGGATTTCCAATGTGGATAATTTACTGCCAAACTGGCCCTGAGAGTCCCTCTAGTCTCATATTCCTTAAGGTACTATTAAAATAGACTAAGAATTTGTTTTCAAGCTGAAAAAGGAATAGATAGTATTTGCCTAAAACCCTTCCTGTTTCATGTCATGGCCTTTGTATCAAGTTAAAAGGACTGGTCTGAAATATTAAGCACCTTCTCCCAACATCATTGGAAAGGCTTGTTTCATGCAGATGTATCCCACCTCTAAGGAGTCAACAAGACTCTTGTGCTTAAAGTGAAACATTTTCTGCTTATGAAGTAGTATTTTTACCTGAAATATCTAGGTAATTTGATTACCGTAGCTCTTCCTCTCGGCCTTGTCAACTAAGGCATCAGTTAGTCTCTGAATCCCAAGAGCTGTTTGAACAAACATGGTTGGTACTTAGTTTATCCTAACTCTGTACTAGATATTAGTTTTTTAAAAAAGCAAAGCCAACAGTGTCTGTCCACACATACTTCATAATTTAGAAAGCCAGATTTATATATCTAGACTATGTAATATGATGGCCATGTCCTCATTTATCTCCATGTGTAAATCAGGTACTCCCAAATTAGACAATCAGAGGCTAAAGCTCACCTCTGTCTTAGTTTTGACTCCATTTTGATATTGCTGGGTTCACCTATGAGTTCTCCAGTTACAGACCTTGAGATAGATGGGTTATTTCTGAATAAGTGCTTGTGATTTCCATTTGGAAGAATACTTTACTTATGACTCTGTGTGTGTGAGAAATACTGCCTTGAGTGAAAATTAATAATGATTTGTTTTTTAAGGGGCTGTAGTCTGGCAGTGATATCTGGGATACTCTATGGATGTACATTTGTGCCAGTCATTTATATCAAGGACCACAGCAAAAGAAATGATAGTATCTATGCAGGGGCAAGCCAATATGGTGAGAGTAAACAGTTATTTTACCTTATAAGTAAACTCAACACTTGTTTTTCAACTCAGCACTTGTTTTTCTACTCCATGTAAACCACAATGTGATTGTAGCAAATACTGTTATATAGCTTTGATCATACTTTTTCATTGTAAATGATGAATTAGAAAGACACTGAAAATTCAAATTAATAAAAGATTACTTGAGTATTTTATGTGATTCTTAACTTAGACATATATAGTCAACTTTCGTCTGGATTCATTTTAATGACTTGGATCTTAAACACATGGTTTCCAGCTTTACAGTAAGATTTGAGACATTTTCTAGTTAGATATTCTCTGGGGAAATATGTATTCTCCTCTTTATAAAAACTAAAGTGTAGTGCATAGTACTTTAAAATTAAATAAAAGTCAAAATATACCTTCATAAAGGTCAAAATATAGCCTATTTAGTCCTAGGGTGTTATTTTTCAAGCACAGAATAATACTCTGAAAGGTTCAGCATAAGTTTCCTTAATTATCTCTGTTTTTAGTATAGAATTGACCTCCTAGGCATAAACACACACTGTTTGCAATACTCTGGGTCAGACTGAAAGAAAATGAAAGAGTGTCTATGTCAGGGTAAGGGTACTGGGATTATTTTGACACGTAGCTTACACCCATGGGATAATATCAGTGAAATCACGGATAATACAGTTTTAAATCAAATGGCACAGAAAGTAAGAGCATATACAGCACAGTTCAGATAAGGGAGAAGTTTGCAGGGCAAAAGTCACAATGGATAGATTAAAGAAGAAGCTGATTTGAACTCAATTTTAAATGCATGAATGGACATTGAATCGATCTGTAGTTTATCCTTCCTTGTACTATCCAGTTCCATGAATTGTACTTACTGACCTCTTTTTAAGATTTTATGTAAATACTTTATTTATTTTTTTTTACTTTTAAGTGAAAAAAAATCTACAGAAATGGAAGAATGGTATATTAAAGAGAGGATTAAATATTAAAAAAAAAGTGGAACCAAGAGTCTAACAAGCTTATGCTACACAGACACGGCATACTCACTAGAAGTGAGCCATGTATTTGACTCTAAGGTCTCTTACAACCCTGGAGTAAATTCAGAACACATGACAAAAATAACTAATTGTTCACTGTGAGTCCAGTTGTTGTTGGTACTGGGATATAATAAACAATGTCCTTAACAATCTTTTTAATAAACAGAACAATAAGTTCTTAGGACTAGCTCTTAGGATAATTCAAATGTATCTGATAAGTGCATTTTATTACAATTTATTACAAAGTAATTGGGGGAGGCTTTTTTATTTCTTTTAACACATAGGTAGTGCATGTACTGTGCTAGGCAGTATTTTAAGCACTATAATAACAATCATCTGGTTGCTATGGTTGGATAACATTATTATCCTCATTTTACAACTGACAAAATTAAGACAGAGAGATTAGGTAATCTGACCAAGTCCCAAAGGTAACAAGTAGTGGATAAAGTATGCACTTGATGTGGTCTGTGCTTTTTATCACTAAGCTATGCTGTCTTTTGTGTGGTCACAGATGGATGTGTTGTTTTTACTTGCTCCAGAAGAAGGATTTAGTATTTTAGAAAAAATAGATAAACTCTTTGTCCCTCAAGCTTTCCTCTCTAAACATGACCATTCTTCTGGGTCAAAATGTAGGTGAGAGAAGCATTAGTCGTTGTGGTCTTCCAGCCAAGTAGCTGTTAAGTCGACCTTCTGTGTGACCAGACTATCAATCTGCTTAAACAGTTAATGGAAATAGGGTTTCTCAGACATTGAACCACCATCACTTGTTATTAAACCTTACCCATGGCGGGGAGGATTATAGTAAATAACTTAATTAAAGCCCTGTGGAATAACTTTCAGAATACCTTGTATATTGTAATCTGCCACAGATCTAGTTAGATCTCCATCTTGATCAACAAACTGTATAAATTTAGAACTCCCAGAATATTTCCACACTTTCCCCAACTGTATTTTACTTGGTAATTTGCTATCATTTCAACAGTCAGTAAAGTTAGGTCTTAATACCTATTTAGTTTTCATATAAGTCACATAATTTAATACTTACTTAGCATTCCATGATGATCATTAACACTAGCCTTTTAAATATGACTATAGTAACTAATTTGCTACTTAATATTTGCAGGTTTTAAGTATAATAATTAAAATTTTCTATAAATAGGATGCCAAAAATTAGGATGACAAAATTTAACAGTCCTTTGTTTTAAAGAATGATTTTTTGATTTGCCTTACTTTTATAAATCTGAATGTACTTGAAATGACTAAAGGATATACTTAAGCATTTTATCATCTCTATTTCCAGATCTAGACTATGTGTTTGCTCACTTCAGTGGCATCTTCCTTACAAGTACAATCTACTTTCTGGCCTACTGTATAGCCATGAAAAATAATCCTAGATTATATCCAGAAGCAGTCTTACCAGGTAAGAACAGTTACTACAGAGAATTTTCTCATTATGTAAAATTGTTCTCCTCCTTTCATTTAGCTTGAATAATTGTCATCTGGACACCAGACCATCCTGTGTGTTTGTGTGTGTTTGGTGCACGCTCATGCCTTTGGTCCACTTTATCACCAAATATAAATTATTTAAAAGTCTTGGTATGAAATGCCAGTCATCCTAAAAGAACCAAATCTTAAACAATGAATCTAAGACCTTTTCCTATGCAAAACATCTGTATTGCATCTCAGATTAGTATTTCTATGCTGTCTAAGGATTCACATTAAAATTCAGGATCCTAGCCCTCCCTGGTGGCACAGCAGGTTAAAACGCAGTACTGCAAGCTAGCATAGCTGTTTCAGTGTAAGTTCAATACCCCCTCCACCCCCCAGGTGATCCACATGGTGCGGCAGACCCGCCCCTCTGCTCCACTCAGCAGTGTACTTAGTGGGTCTGCCTGTCCTATTCCCTACTCTGTTTCTGGTGAAGCATCTCACCGCCCCTGCACCTCTGGCTTGTACCCCAGTTCTACATGTAAAATAAGTAAAATCTTAAAAAAAAAAAAAAAGGATCCTGTGACTACTAAAAAAAGTATCAGCAAATAGGAATCTGCAGTCACTTGAAAGAATAGTTTCTCCCAAAAGTCAGTACAAATTGTTTTAGAGTTAAAAAAAAAAAAAAGGAAATCTGCTAAATGTACTATTTGGACTTAATATATTAGACATTCTGTTAAAATTAAATGTTTTTTACTATTTACTAAATTATATTTTACCAAATTTAATTTAACACTTATTCAAGAGTTTACTATAATTGGATTTAGAACATAGTTCTACAAATAAAATTTTATAAAAAGCAGGCCCTCCCTGGTGGCACAGTGGATTAAAGCACAGCACTAAGAAGCTAAAGCCGCTTCAGCATGAGTTCAACCCCGGCCCTTAGACCCCTCTCCTGGCCTGCCCTCTGCTTCCCTCAGCAGTGTACTTCGTCAATCAGCCTGTTCTGCTCTCCTCTCTGTCTCTGGTGAAGCCTCTCACCGCCCCTGCATCTCTGGCCTGAATCCCAGTTCTGAATGCATAAATATTTTTTTTTAATTTTATAAAATGCAAAAATATGTCAATCATTTTGAATGATTGATTCACTTAAGCCAAAATATAGACCATGTAGAGACTTGCTCAACATGAATGCCTTGCTCAAGAATCCTAAAATTTCTAATTGATATTTTCATTCAGATTCCAGGCCTTTGTTTCCTTATAGATAGCATTATTCTGAACCTCACTTATTTTCATGTTCATAGTTTAGAGTAAATTGTGTTTGTAGGTCATGTTCTGATCCTTTATCTTTCCAAGGCCCCTCTCTACTCCCACCCCAACCTTTACCTCAGCTTCAACTTGGGGACTATATTTTAATATAAATAAAGTGAAAGGGTTGAAAATTATATTCATAGCAAAAATCATTTGGTCCCCAAAATGGTCGTGAAACACAAAAATTCATGTTGGCCAAGAATGTTAATAATGCACTTATGTCTGCACTTTAGTGTTCCTCCTGTATCTGGAGTGTTGATTTTTCCAGAGAGGAGCACGCCTCGTCAACAACATGCGTTGTCTGTGTGTTTCAGGGTTCCTGTCAGGAATTCTCTGGGGAATCGCTACCTGCTGTTGTTTCATAGCTAATCATTCTCTCAGTGCTGTGGTCACTTTCCCCATAATCACTGCTGTAAGTAGCTGAATTGTTTTTGCAAATTTTTGTTTTTAAGGTAAATCTAATTTTTCTGAAGCATTCTTAGTGAATCACTAAAAGCTGCCATGGAATTTCAGGTTTTTAGGAGTAAGACTAAAACCACAGATTCATGGAAATAAGCTAACACCCCCTAGTTTTCATGTGCTTGATTGCCAAGAGAATGTTGCCAATCTCATTTCAGCAGATTTTAAAATTTTTAATCTATTAGAGATTTGGATTGATCATCTTACCTAATGTCACTTTGGATATATTATCATCCACTATTTAGAAAAATATTCATGTTGTTTATGTAACAGTTTTATGTAAGGTTTTAGATATAAAAATGCTTTTACCTCTGTTATCGTTTTATGTAAGGTTTTAGATATAAAAATGCTTTTACCTCTGTTATCACACTTGAATTTCATGACAACTTTGTGAAACAGTGTTACTTCAGACTCCTCCTCACATGTAATTTAATGTTTTTAAGAAAAGTTTAAGAAAATCAAAAGGTAAAGAAAACAATCCCCCTCCCAAGAGAAAAGGCTTGTTACTGTCCTCCAGGTATTACCTGCTATACTAAAAGCTGAATCAGACTATCCAGATGATTCAGTTTCTCAAGAAGACTCAAATTTACCTTGGATTCAAAGGCTGGCTCAAGATATGTAATTTGTTTAAATTTACAAAAGGGAAGTGTACAATCCAAATTGCCAAAACAGTTATATCTCTTCTCTAAGAAGATATATCTTATATCTCTTATCTATTTGACTCTCCCTTGCGTACATCAGAGTCTACACAGATTGACACCAGCTTGCCATATTTATAGCAAAGCACAACTTCCTGTAACCACACTGCTCTCACATGTCTGAACTAATATTTAGGAAATCACCAGCCAATAAGCCTCAAAGGTCAGTGATAGCTTTTGGTATTGTCTTCCACTGTGTGCTTTGAAGGGAAATGGATTTCCAGAAATGGATTTCTTGAGTGATTGGCATGAATATTAGTTTTATATCCTCTCTTCTATTATTTCGTCCCTTTCTGGCCAACATCAGTACAGAGTTGCCTTTAGGACCAGATGCTTCTTGTTTGACTTGGGTTTTGAAACTTAGAACCTACATCATCAATAAAAGCTAGTTCCTTTGACCTATTTGTCCATTTCTTTTGATGTTGACTTTTCCAGATGCTGATAAACAGAGAGTAATATATTTTATTGCTTCACTTAATGCCAGAAGTGGAGTCAAAATTTGATGACCCAGAGATTCAAACTATTGGAATAAGGAAAGGGGGAAAAATATGTTGGAATTCTTTATTTGAAAGCCTTCCAGAGTTTGTGAAAGGCTTGAAGAGAAGCATTGAAGTACTAATATGATACGCTACCACAAAGACCACAATTCATCCAAATTTCAAATTTTTTCTTTGTCAGCTAAAAAAATAAAGACTAATAGCTTAATGTTTCTAAATTGCAGAATCATCATTTTTCCATCACATGTCTTCTAGTTACTTTTGACCTGGATTATTTTATTACTGTCTTTCTCTGCTGGTCACTAACCCATTGTTTCTTTTTTCTTACATGGTTTTCATATATTCCCATCTTTAGGATTTACTAGAGCTTAATATAAGACATAGTTAATGTCTGTGCTATAGTAACAATTTAAAACACATTTTAAAAATCGTGTCCTCCTTCTCTATGCACCTTATTTGTCAGGCCAAAAAAAGAACACACTAAAATTTCTTCAGTTATGAGGTTGTCATAGGGCAAAATAAGTTAGGTTTATTCATTCATTCTTATTAATTCTATTCCAGTATCCTAAAGATTTAGTTCAATAGAAAAATAATTTACATTAGTTCAATATTTTATTTTAAATAGATCACATTAAAGAAAATTATTCTTTGGCATAAAAGATGGCAGTATCATTAAAACAATAAAATGAAATTTCATAAAGAAAAAAATCTTCATTTTGTAGTTAAAACTACTTAGTTTAATGTACATTAGGATTGAGGTTATAGAAAATTTACCCTGATGATATTGTTATTTTACAGTAGAAAGTTACTTGATCAAACTGTCAGGTCAGCTCTCTAGTTTATTATATTTACATCAGTATTTACAGAAAAATATTCCACATAATCAAAGTTCTTATTTTATTTAAGGGTCCAGGACTTATTGCTGCAATGTGGGGTGTCTTCATATTCAAGGAAATACAGGTACGTACCAGAAATGGCATATCTAGAAAATGGGAGTAATTTCAAGCAAGGTTATTTGATATTATGGTTGTGTTATTTTCTGAAAACTACATTTGGCTTTTAAACCAGGGCAGAAAATACATGAATGGATTTGAGAGGTCAGATGTTCAAACTGTTGGCTTTTCTAATTAGAAAAGAAGATAGTCAATATAATGTGTTTTCATTACAAATTGTTTCTGATTTTTTCTGATTTATCTGTATTTTGAAAAAGTACTTAGTCGAGGAATATACATATTTACATTGAATTTTGCAATACAAAACTTACTACATACAATCTAGAAACAACCTGTCAAGGCATCTTAGACATTGTTTTCAGTTAATACACAGCTGTGAATTGCAAGTGTTCCTACTGTAAGAGCTGAAGTTAATTTCAGGTAACCATAAACTGTGTCCGTGGCTGATCCTTAAAATGCTCATTTAACTTTAGGTTTAAATATCACTCCAGTCGCTCTAGATGAAGTATTTTGAAAAGCTATAACTTAATAATGTAAGTCTCAGATTAATTATAATGTGTCTAAAAGGCATTTGGACCATGATCTGAATTTTTGTCTTTTTAACTATACAAGACTACTTAAAACATTTACAAACCCATAGATTTCTTAAGTGTGCATGTTTCTTATTTTAATTTTGTTGACTTTCCAGAGTGATTCTATGTCCAAAACACATTACAAATATCCTTGCAAATATTTTATATGCTTCATAAAGGATAATTAGTTTTATTTAAGAATTGGATTTTTTCAGTACAGCATGCTGAAGTCTTAGAAAAAGCATTACGTGATCATTACTTATTACAATTATAGCTATAAAGAAGCACAAACTAAGACAAGTTATCACTGAATACAAAAACCCTATTATCAACCAACAAAGGAGCACCCCAGGCCCCTCGGTGGGATGCCAACCTCCTCTAGAGCACAGGTGGCTAACGCAGAACCTGCCAGATGCCATCCACTGCTCCAGCCCCACTGGCACTCCGAGGGTGCACCTAGGAAAGGACTCTTGGGAGCCTTAGGTCAAAAATGAAGAAAGGATCCACAGAGACTATGAGGGCAGACAGGGAGCCATTTTATTGATTTGCAAAAGAGCTGGTGGAGAAACACTGGCGTAGAGGTGTGGGACCTAGATGTCTTTATGGACTTTAGGAATGGGGCTTGAGAATAAAAGAAGGAAGCTTTATTGCAGTGTTAAATACAGCAGCAGTTAGAAATGTGCTTCTCTGCTGCTGAGTGTCACAAGTCTCCAGCCTAGATCACTACATTTTTAAAATTATTTTTCTTAGAAATATGATACAACCCTAGCAGAAAATGTTTCTTTTTCTGATGTTTAGTTCCCATCAGTTATGTCTTGAAGCAGCCTCAAAGACACATATTTAAAAGCCTACAATCTACTGCGGTAAGGATTTAATCTGAGACTGACAGACCTTTTACAGGAAAGAATGAATTTTATTGTGTTTTAATGCCTTCAGCATATCCAGGTGCTTTATGCTCCTGGTGTTATTTTATATATGGTATCTGTCCCTCTTTAGGATGTTTGTTGTAGAATTTAGCTACTTTATGTTAGATATACATTATATCTTTAGCAACACACTTTAGTCAGTATGTGAACAGTAACAATGCAGTAATGTATATATTAGTAGTTCTGTCAAATAAAGAACAAGGTGATATGTTTATTAAAAAATCCAACTTAATAATTCTGCTTCCGGGGGGCTCCCTAGTGATACAGGGACTAAAACACAGTACTGTGAAGCTCTCCCTCAGCCACTGCAGCATGGGTTCAATCCCCAGCCAGGGAGGTGACCCATGACCTCTCCTGTCTCATCCACTGCTCCCCTCAGCAGTGTATTTCATTGGAGATCTGTCTGTTCTGCTCTGTCTGTCTGCTCTGGCCTGTACCCCAGTTCTTGTATGCAAAAATAAAGCTTTAAAAAATTCTGCTTCAGGGAGTAGCATTCTTTCTTACAGAATGATCTTTCTTTTAAGTTAACAAAGGAAAACTAATACTATTGCCGAAAATAAAAAGTAAGAGACTAGGCAGTTTGAGCAGATTCTAAAATGTAAAGAGGAAAAATATTTTATTTCCTGAAAATATCATTCTTTCTACATAGATAATAAACCAGGAAGCTTGGCAAAGTATTTACATAATCTGTTCATATAGTGAAGCGATTAAGGGCCCATGTCTAGTTCACAAAGCACATTGGAATTCATCTAAGTATATTTATACTTTTTTGTTATTTTTATGAAAGTAACACTGCATTATAGCAGTCTATGTTTCAGGTGCGGATTATTATAAATCAGCCTCTCTGTATACCATGTTATGGTCACCACCAAAAGTACAATTCTATCCTTCACCTTACAGATATCCTTTTTTACCTAATTTACCAGTCTTCTTCCCCCTTCCCTCTGGTAACCACCAATTTGATCTTATAGTCTAAAAGTTTTTTTTCATTTTATTTAGTTTATTAGATTGTTTCTTTAGGTATCACATATGAGTGAAATCATATGGCATTTCTTTCATTAAGCATAATACCCTCTAAGTCCATGTGTATTATTGCAAGGCAAAGGGTTTCATTCTTTTTTATGGCTGAATAGTATTCCATTCTGAATTATATTACATATTTATCTAATTATCTGTTGATGGGCACTTAAATTGTTTTTAGCCATAGGCAATTAAAATAGTGCTGCAATAACCCTGTTTTTGTATTTATTGGGTGCATACCCAGAAGTGGGATAACTGGATTTTACAGAATTTCATTCTTTATACACATACTTTTTGAGTGTCTACTTTTCACCATTGCTGGTTTCTAGTCTTCACTGTCTTAAAACTAAGAAACACACAGTACCCTCCCTGATGGTGTAGCGGGTTAAAGCACAGCACTAAGAAGCTTAAGCCACTTCCGCATGAGTTCGATCCCCGCCTGCCCCCGAGGTGACCACATGGCGTGGCAGACCTCTCCTGACCCACCCGCTGCTCCCCTCAGCAGTGTACTTCATCAATCTGCCTGTTCTGCTTCCCGCTCTGTCTCTGGTGAATCCTCTCACCCTCTGTATCTCTGGCCTGTACCCCAGTTCTGTATGAATAAATAAAATAAATCTTTAAAAAAAAAAACTAAGAAACACATAAACACATTAGGGAACTTTTTATAGAGAGTGGGTGTGTGGGTGTGTTGCTCTGTGATCAGAAGATGTTCTGGTTGTATCTTTTCACTGTATAATTCATATTAAACAACTTTGTTAGTGACATAGCTTACAGTGAGTCAGACAATTCAGCTGGCCCCAACTCAACTTGCAAAGACCTGTCTCTGGTCATCACAGAAGTACATTAATCCACTCTAGCCCAACTGACTGACATTAATATGAAAGGGAGCTGATGATTTGATTTGACTATCAAGAGCTCAATGTAATTTTAGCACCTATATCTAAAAGTATAATTTGTCATATTTAAAGAGGAAGTAGACAATCTAGCAATCATTCAGAGGGGAACAGCCAGGACGGTAAGGAAAGTTGGAATCATTCTATATGAAAAATGGTCAAAAGAGCTAAAATATTGACAAAGAAAAAGAGACCCTTCAGAGATATTAGACAGCTATTTACAACCTTTCCATTTATCTTGTGAGAGAAAGATTAGAATTGATCTATCTGTGCCCCTAGAGATGGAATTTATAGCAGATAAGTGTTTCTACTCTGCACAGGGAGGTATTTCATTATTAATGTAAAGACGACCTGGAAGTGGTTCTTTTGTTTGCGTCTTTAAGACCAATGCAGCCATACAGAGCCAGGCAAGCCATGGTCTCTTTCTCAGTTGTTAGATGTCTCTACATCTGCACTTTGTCAACCCTCTCTAGGAGGATGTAGCCTCCATCCCCTTATTTGTCTCTATGTATTAGTTCTGGCCCCCTCTGACTTTCTCACCATTTTCAAAGTAGTAAGGATTTTACAAAACACAAATCTGAACCTTTCCTTACATTGGATGCCCATGCCTCTAATGTGTTCCCATTGCTTGGGGCGGCTGGGGGGGGGGGTGGAGGGACAAAAATAACAAGAGAACAAGGTGGCTTATAAAATCTCCTCAGGCCCGCTAGTTCTTCAAACTCATCTGTTCACTTAGCTCTCACACTGACCTTTTTTCTTGTCCCTGATGCGTAACAGGTTTTGTTGTTTGTTTTTTTTATAACAGAGCTTTACACATAATTTCTTCTACCTGCATCTGTTCGTTGATCCATATAACCAGAAACACAACACCTCGACTCTTATCACTTTAAAGCAAAGGTCTTCACTTACAACGCCTCTCCTCTAACTTGTGACATTATTTTCTGTGGTTACTTTCATTCCAATCTCCCACAGTATACACCTAGCTGAATAAGCACACATTTTCACTCAGCAACATTTTTTTTAAGTTTTATTTATTTATTTGTACAGAACTGGGGTAAGGCCAGAGATGCGGAGGGTGAGAGCATTCACCAGAGACAGAGTGGGGAGCAGAACAGGCAGATGGACGAAGTACACTGCTGAGGGGAGCAGCGGGCGGGTCAGGAGAGGTCTGCCACGCCATGTGGTCACCTCCGGGGCAGGCGGGGATGGAACTCATGAGGAAGTGGCTTAAGCTTCTTTGTGCTGTGCTTTAACCCGCCGCGCCACCACGGAGGGCCATTCACTCAGCAACATTTTAAAAGACATTTTATGTTTCCAATTAATGATGCCTCTCATATATTTTGTTTCTGATGTTCCAGACACTGTTTTAAACACCATTCCATGTATTACTTATTTCTCATCAAAATCCTGTTTGTTTACTTCCTTAACCCCAGCACATCTTGAAGGATAGTAAGAACACACATGAACAGACTAAATGGAAGAGTTAGTAAGGATTCTGTGGGTTTTCAAGAAAATGTGAATGATTGCATTGAAGGTCATGCAGGTAGCAAAAGCAGGTGGTCCCCAGAACCTACAAGTTTGTGCTGTTTATACACTTACTTCAGTTTTTCTTAGTTACAGTTCTTCTCTTACAATTCAGGGTCTACAAAACTACCTGTTGATGATATTTGCATTTTGCATCATCTTCGCTGGAGTCTTATGTACTGTTTTTTCTAAACTCTAATAACTACAAGACCAGCAGATGGCAGCAGTGGTTAAGAGACCAGGTCTTCTGGAACCTGGAAAAATTAATGCGGAGAACGGAGTTCATTTTCATACTGCCAATGGATCTCAGCTCGTCTTAGAATGGGTAAATAACTTTTTTCACATATCAGGGAATGAGCGAAAACTGAATTTCATCAAGTATAAAAATGGAAAATTCTTCTAATGAACTATTTGTGAAGATGGGATTTCCCAAGACGACTAAAATGTTTACATTCGTACACGATTACACCTGTGGATGCTCCTTTTAGCATGCTATGTACTTAGTATTGTTTACTAGGAAAGACTGTGGAGTTCAAATGCAAAGAATGTGCAGCCCAATTTTCCAACAGATTACCTCATTGTGAAGAGAGGCAGAAAAAATGTGGGGAGAAGAGGAGTGAGACTTCCCTTAATGGGATTAGATTCCAAAGATGTCTGGATCCTTTGCTAAAAAAAAGTAAATGTCAGAGTTGGTAACTGAATGTTAAAAAGGCCATTTCTTTTCTTTTCTTTTTTTAGCCCAATTTTATTTTTATTCCAAGTTAATATTGATAAACAGTACATCACCTACACCTCTTAGCTCAAAAGGTTTTTTATTATCTCTGGATAAGATTCATCCAGACAAAATGCCCTCCCACTGATAGCATGTGTATAATATCTATGTACCTACGCCACTCCTACACAAATACACTCACAGAGATGGATGTGCTAGTCCAAATCTGGGAGAAATTCTAGAGTTGCTAAAGTTAGGTTGCTGAAATACACTTTCCTCTAAGCCCTCCTTTAAATGTAGGTTTTCTTCATATTTTAAATTGGGAGTTCCCGCTGACAAAAGTGATAAGACAATACTCGTTTTATTTATTTAGGAAAACAGAAATGGAACCACTAATATGAAATTTCTTTTGAGAGTATCCAAACTCTTCAAATAATGAAACTCCAGTCGACATAAATTTCACCCACCCACTGAATTCACCTCCCATTTCCTTTCCCTTCCTTTCCCCTTCCCGTGGTGTCTACTCAGAAGTCACACAATAGCATGCTGCTGCTTTTGTGTGTGCACCCTGGTGTTCAGCTCCATGGATGTAAATCCCATTTCTGTTTCACTCTAACTGTGGAACTTTAGATAAGTTCCTAAGTCCCTTGTATCAGATATCTCATCTGTATCCACCTCACATGGCATGTATCTTGACATGACATATAATTCTTAATTATCACTATTCCATATTGTTTGTAAACAAAAATATATGTCTGTATGTTGAACACTACCTTGTAAGTTACTGCCTTCACCACTACTCTCTCCAAACAATTGCTTTTTAATCTCTCTGTATAAGCAAATATTCAAAATGATAATGGAGTTCTTTGTGTAATTGTTGAATTGCTAACATAAGTAAATATTTGATTATAATAATTTATAAAAATTGTTTTATTTAAATGAAATGTCATTAATTATGCTGATAATCTCTGAATAAATTGACACAATATGAAAACTTTTTTATACGTTTAAACTTGCATATGTTTTATATTGGATAGCACTCAATTACACGTTAGTTGAAATTGCCAGTTAATGTGCATAATTTTAAATGTTAAGTAACAGAATTGAAGGAAGAAAAATACAAAAAAATCTATTATCATTAAATCACTAGGGCAGGCTTATAGCAAGAGTAATATGGGAACAAAAAATTATGGTTACTTAGTAAATTATATAGACCATAGTCTAATTGAGTGCCAAATCTCCACTCTCTTTGCAACATTAGAAAGTTAACACCTATCTCTCTTAAGGATTAAAGGCTTTATTTTTCTTTGTGAGTCAAAACAAAAATTTTTGTTCTTTTCCGCTTTGACTTTCTGTCACTGTACAAAAAGGCAGCCCCGCCTGAAGTAGGGAAGTAGCAAAGCAGTGAAGCTGACATCTAGATTGAGAATTTTCTATAGAAACAAAACTACTAATGAATTTTAAAGAACAGCACTTCATTCTCCAAGTTACCCAATCTCCCCTTTTTCCAGTTGCACTAATGTTTCACACTTAGAGTTGCTAACTATTAGAGCTATGGACATTGATAGAGCTAGAAAAGGCAGGTTATAGAATCATGTGCAAACTGTGCTACCATTTAGATAGATTTTAAACATCTCAGTAATACATTTTTCTATAACTGTACATGTTTGCGTAAGATTAGAAAATATGTAAACCAAACTTATAATGAGGTCAGAATGAGGTCAGAGTGACTACACTGGAGTGTGGGTATTTGAGCATTCTTTGTTATAGTCTAAATTATAAAAATGAAGTTATATATATGTTTTTCAAGTGTTAAAAGAATTAACAGCAGCAAAAAAAAAAAAAAGAAACTCAGAAACATATGTTCAAATATTTGAATAAGTCTGGGCAAAGAATGAGATGAATGTTATTTTCCTCTTTATTCTTTTTCGTCCTTTCTAAAATTTCAAAACAAGTACGCCCACATACAAATAAAAAAAGACAAAGTTGGGAAATTCTCCAGTGTAAGAGTTCCACCTTTGGAAGGCTGAACCTCACATTCTGAGCTTCCCTGGAGTAGGATGTGTTCTTCCTGACTGGTCTCTTTGGGAGATCTGTAAAGCTACCTGGTAAAGTTGTTTCAAATATGGTCTCATAAAAAGAAGTCACAGATATTTTATGATTCATTTTAATCAAGTTTTGCAAGGTAAAATTCGGATCCAATATAGTTTTCCCATTTTATGTGGACAGTTACTTTCAGCTTCAGTACATGTATATTCATGTAACCATCACTACAACTTAGGTTCAAAACATCTTACCCATTTTGCTCACTAGGCATTGACACTCCCCATAGCCCAGGCCACCAGCAATCTATTTTCACCCTAAACTACCTTTGCTTATTCTAAAAGCTCATATAAATGGAGCCCTATAATATTTACCCTTGGGTGTCTCATTTCTCTCTTCTTATAGCCTTTGGAAGCAATGTATGCTATCTAAAACAATTATAATTCAATCTTAATTATTTTCCCTAGAAGAATGCATATGCATGTATTCAGAGTGAAAACTAAAGCAAAAAATGATTAGCATTTGGAATTGTTATATTTAAGTGAGTGATGTGTCAGTTCTAGAGATTTACTGCTCTGTATTAATGGTGTAGCTAGGAACTCTTAGCTACACTTTAAGATCAACTCTAATACTATAATGTACTCTTTTGAGGCATTTATAAAGTAGTAAATGGCTTAAACTAGAAGACCTCCTTTTCTATATGTTGAGTATATTTCTACTGTTGAAAATATTGACCAAATGGACAATTTCGATCGCTGGAAAGTATGAATTCGCATTTTTTACCAGTGTTCCTGTGATTCTTATTGCACTTGTGCTCTGAATTTTTGTCTACCTTGACATTTAAAAATTTAAAGAATGAGTTGTTTATAAAAAGGAATATTTTGTCTTCCAGTCTTAAAGAGAAAATAAAAGAACAGCTATTTGTGGGGATTTTCTAGCAGAAAAAAGAATGAAATGTTTGGAAAAATGTTTAAAGTTTTATTTGTAAAAATAACAATAATAACTAGGTAGCATATTCTCTCTTTTTTTGGTTCAAGGAACTTGACTTTCATATGCTGAATTGATTCAAAGAGGTTTGTGGCCATGTCTGTTTCTATTCTAGATTCTTCAGGATGATAATCTCTTTATTCAGTAATAAAACCTCTAGAACAATTCATGTTATCATGAAAACAAACAAAAGCTCCCATTCCCAAATGGAAATTTTCCAAGTTCTAATGAAATATATCCTGGAAGGAAACTGAAAAATGAGGCGAGAGTATTTTTTTGGGTGGAGACAGCAGGCTGCGACTAGCAGATACACTGACTTCAAGAGCATTACGCATAGTGCCAGGTTTTGCCAGGATGCCCTAAATTTTCTTTTTCTCTTACCAAAGTTCTTGAATGCGTGGCTACTAAACTCATTCATACCTTATATAACTAAGAATTTAAAATTTCATCTTTTTTTCCATACACCTAAATGGTTTGATTGTATGAATCTCACCTCAAGTGATTCTGCAATAAAGGTTTTATTATCTCAATTCCCCAATACTATCTGAAATTACATTGACTTTAATCTCATGTGCTAACAAAAGTTACTGTGAATTTTTTGTGAGTAAAAATTGCTTTATTCCTTTTTATATTTCAAGAATCTAGCACAGTGCATGGCACACATGCATAAAAACATGACTTTGTTGGTACGAATCCTAAAGAAAATCTTCATTGTGCACTGCAGAATTTGTCAACCAATGATTCTTTTAAAAACAGCTCCTTAGTAGTTTACTGGATAATATGTCAGATAGGCACTAGGTGGTTTATTTGTATTTGCGGCACAGGCAAAGCACTGGGATATATCAATAAAGCAGTCATGGAATTCAACCAGAAAAAACCCAAAGAAATCAAATAAAAATCTTTGTGGGCTCTAAGGGAAAACTGCATGGTGCTCTCAGGGGTACTGTAGTACCATAGGGGGACATGGTGATGAAAGATAATCCATACAGTTTTAGTCAAATTGGTTGCTCACATTGAAACCAAAACAAGATGAGAAAATTTTCTATTTGGATGGTATTTTAAAACCCCAGACACACAACCATGGTATATTGCAGCTTTGCTGGATTTTGCTATCAGTGCTAATGGTCTTTTTTATATATTTCTCAGGGTCTTCTACATAAGCAATTAAAGTGTCAGCAAATAGAGTTTTACTACTTAATTTTTAGTCCAAATGCCTTTCATTGCTTTTCATTGCTTCACTGCCCTTGCTATGACCTCCACTAAATTTTGAATAGAAATGGTAAAAGTGGACACTCTCTCATTCTGTATCTCGGTGAGAAAGCATTCAATTGTTCACCATTAGATACACTATTATACAAACCTTTCTATATAGTGTTATATTTAATTTGCTAAAATTTTGTTTAAAAATTTTACTTATTTTTTCAAAAGGAATATTGGCTTATTATAATGGAGTACTACTGGCTTCATAAAGTTTAAAAGTATTATTAAACTTCCTTGAATATTTTGTAAAATTTACTAGTGAAGTTAGCGAGGCCTCATTTTCTTCAACAATTTTTCTTTTTTTTTCCATGAGTGAACACTCCCAGTTTGTGCTTGTTAAAGAGTTGATTCATTTTATATTTTACTGTGGAAATGATTGGTATAATATTGTTCATAATATGATCTATAGCTCCCTTTCATGTTTACAGGATATGTAATGACATCAGTCTCCCCATATCTGAAATTGTTAATTTGTTTCTTCCTTTTTTGTGAAGATTTTACCTCAAAAGTACATCCATTGTCTTTTTCTCTTCTGTTTCATTCATCTACATATTGTGTATTCTGTTTCCTTTAGGTTTTTCACTTGCTTGACTCCCTCACACCCCTCATCCTTCTAGAATCCAATTACACATAAATTACTTTTTACCCACAACTGACTGCTTCCCTCTTCATTTTTTATTCAGTCATTCTGTTTCATTTTGGATAGTGTCTGTTGATTGTTATTTTCAATTTTACTCCTCCTCTTTAGAGTCCAAACAATTATTAACCCCATTTAGTATCTATCCTAGACACAGTCACTACTAGAAGCATTGTTCCAGATTGTTTTATGGTATCCACATATTATACTCATGTCTTTCTATAACTTTTGAACATATCTTGGATATTTATAGTTGCTAATTATGGTCAATCCTATTAATGCTATCATTGATATCATTTATGGATAAATTTCTATAAATAAATTTTCTTCTCACTATAGAATATATTTTATCCCTCCTTTGTATAGCAAGTAATTTTTATTTAGATGTGAATTTTATGTGAATTTTATGAGTGCTCACTACATTTTTTTTCCTTATATATTTTTTGAGATGTGTTCTAGGCTTTGTATAATTACTTGGAAACAGTTTTCTTCATAGATGGCTTTTTTAGATAGCATCATAGCAGCATTTTGTCTGGGGCTAATTCACCTACTACCTTCCTGAATATTCTGGTACTTTCTGTGTTAGGAGGTTTAGTGTTAGGGTATTCTCATTCTTTATTTCTGTTTCTTGCTTTTAGTTTTGTTATTTTCGCTGCAGTGAATATGAAATCTTCCAAGTGCTAGGTCATTGGGGATATTTACCACCTGCTCCTTTCCTTCTCCATGGTTCTTTGCTCAGTGTCTGGTTTGTTTGGTTATTTTTTCCTCATTTGCATATATTAATCATTAGATAGCTGAAGACTGAACTCCTCTGCAAATCTGTGGCTCTATGAATTTTAGGATTCCCACCCCCCCACTCTAGTATTTTATCTCATTTATTCCCTTTACTACATTACAGAGTGCAACTCTCTCCAAGCAGTAAAACTGGAAAATTAAAGGACTCAGCTTTGTTTCC